AATCCACTAGCTTTATTAAGATATTAAAAACGTTTCTTACGTATGAACACCTTTACGAATACATCAGTCAGACGTGTCATTAATTGCATTGGCTTTATTTTTTTGTTCGTAAGCGGTCGTATTCCTACATAAAAGACTCATTTAAAATAAAAATAGCTTTTTTCATCTTTATGTTTCAATCAACTCTAGACTCTACAGTTATTACAAAACTACACAGTGCTCTACAGTGTAGAGCTTGTTAACAGGCTTGTATAAAGTCCTCATTAGTAAACGAAATTTTTCAGATAAACCAATAAAAATGTCTCGAAGAAACAATAGAAAGAAAGACAATAGGGCGGGCTATATACCCGATGGACTTTCGAAGACAAGAGGTTAAGAAAGAGTAGCTTGTGATAAGTACTTGTAGAATTCTATGTACAGTCAGTGGCAAATACATACGTTCGTGACACCCAAAGTGGCCAAAAAGAAGACAACACAACCCTATTCCAAAAGAAGTGTTGCGAACTTTTTGGCTACTTTGGGTGTATGGAACTATTTGACGCTGACTGAACAGGCTATGGCACAACAAGGAGATCACTTTGGCACCTTATACAGTTTTAATAGAGATGAAATTACAACAAAATTTAGTCCACTGTTCAATTGAATATCAGGGAAAGTAAAGTACTTATAGAATACTGAGACATTAAGTACAGGTTCCAGGTATTATTTATGCGCATTTGAATACAAAATGAAAGCTCCTTTTACTTACCTACTTAAGTAGGTTCGTTATAACATTATAACGGTAAAATAACATCTAAAATCCTACATCCAAACCTTTATTTTTCATAGATCATTAATGCTAGCAGTCTCATATTAACTTTTTTTTTAATCTACATTTTTATTGCGCTTATAAATCAGCAAGTTAATAATATAAATATTTACCATGTTTGTGATGTTAACAACTATTAAATTAACAAATAGACCTCAGGCGATATGTGTTATTTGAAGGGCAATTTAAATAAAAAATCAGTTAAAACATAAACTAATTATCGGAGTAGCTTTGAACATTTGTAAAGCAATTTATTATTATTTACGTTATTTAATGGTTAAATGGTTCGTTTACCGGACTAATGCCAGCTATGGTGGCGGCTTCACATCCCGCTGGAGGCAATAGTAATTGTTAATGGGGGTATTTAAAGTCACTAACGAACTTTTATATTACAGTCGACAGCATTTTCTGACTCTATATTTTATAGCAATATCGCACTTATTACCTTTTACTTCATAAGATGCCACAGCGTTTAGGTAACGTATAATTTATTAAACTACTGAAATCTACAGAAAAACATGATTTTCAATTATAAATCAAATGTTATATGTATAATCCTACTTTACCTATTATGTATAGGACTTATTCATTGTTGATTCAGCATGTCCTTATTTCTATGAGTACTTACTTGATTTACTGCATTTACATAGGTTTTAGTAATTGGTGTGGCAGTCGAAAGAAAAGTAAAAAAACCTGGCCAACATTGTTCATTTATGATGTTATGATCAAATTGTAAGCATTCCTTGTAGCATACATTTAAAACCATTTAATTACAAATGTACCACAACACGTCGACCGAAAGCGCTTCCATTTTTGTCACCGCTTTAGTCTGAATTGTTAGTTTTTCTACGGCTTCTTGCCAAGGAGGCTCCGAAGGCCGATTATTCAAATCTAGTACGAATTCCGATGCATCACGGCGACTAAGGAAAGTGGGTTAACAGCCACTGAGTTTGTGACTGAATCTGATGGACCCGAATGCGTCCAGTGTACGTGAGTTTCTCTAGAAGGGAAAGTAAACAGACCCTTTTGGAGGTAGTTTCAATTACTAGGTGGGTGCACAAAGTTCAGCAAAAAGTTATAATAATGGCTTTTGTTCAAGCTTACATTTTCATATCTATAGATAACAAGGAATTCCCGAAATTCCCACGGGAACTGGAATTAGCGGGAAAATCCTTTTGTATGAAAAATCTAAACAGCTTAAGTTAGACGCTTGAAATTTGGCATGTAGGTTCCTTAGTAAACTTAAAGCTTAGTTACAACAGGATATTGCAAAATTTCCACGGGAACGGGAGTTAGCGAGAAAAAACATTTGTATGAAAAAATCTAAACCGCGTAAGATAGATGAAGGGGGTAAAACGGGATCCACGCGTACGAAGTCGCGGGCGGCCGCTAGTAGATAATAATACTAACATTACAAATGCTAATGTAACTCGGTTTATTTGTTACGACTGAACGCTGAAACAAGAAATACATATTTTGAATAAGGGCAAAAAATAATATACTTAAAAGAACTTACTAACATAGATACAGGTACCTCTTGTCTACTTCAGGCTTCAATCGTAAGGATTACATCAAACTTAATTATTTAATCTTATCCGAAGCGTACTTGTAGAGTCATAATTGGCTAGGCCTGTTAAAATGGACAGCCCTGTTAAGCTGAAGTAGGCTGGTACATGTTACAAAATCTCAATTAAAACTAGGGCGTGTTAACAATTATACGAGAAGCGTTATAAAATGCAAAAACGTATAATTAGACGCTGAATAGAGCATAGAATTGTTTATTATTATCGTCGGGTCCCGATCTGAACGCACGCGAACACGCGAGCAACAAACTTCTGTATCGTCTAGACGATGTTAGGGTTCCTTAGAGTATTGTATTAGATGTAACTCGTAATAGTTATTATATTTATAGAGCACCTTTTTTAAGTCTGTCAGAAGCTGATTCATATATAGCATATATAGGCTTAGGTAACCCCTAGTCGAAATTAGGGAACTTTCAGAAAGAAAATCATTTTTCGTCAAAGAATTTTCCTGAACGCCTGAATTACAAATGAATTGCAGAATTCAAACGATAAATAAAATATTGGGTTAAAGAATCCAACAATAAATCCATTTATTAGGTACTTCATTTTTTTACGAACTTGCGATAAATAAATAGCTAAATAAAACAATTTACGGAATAGTGTAGACCAGGGCTGCCCAAACTGTTCGACATTATCCTAAGGACACCGTGAGGCGATCGAAAAGAAATATAGAGAAAGAGCTAAGAGTGCCAATTACTAAGCTTGAGCCCAGTTTTGAGGAGCAATGCTCATAAAATAAATATTCTTGGGCGTACAACATTAGTGGAAACCCCGTAGCTCGTTAATGACGGCTGTGGGAGTGGTTTAAAACTTTCAATTTGCTCAAAATAAACACATGAGAGTGACAATTTCCAAACTTGAGTCCAGTTTTGAGACGCTACGCTCAGAAGACCAAGCATAGTCTTCTCATGTAGCGTTTCAACATCATAAAATAAATGTTTTTTAAACATTCTTGGGCGCCCCAAAAAAAGGCCAATTTCTAAGGGCGTCACACAAATAAAGTTTGCGAAGCCCTACCGTAAGTAATTTTGTTCTGCAAACAGCGCTAGCTCACGACATCCGAGCGGTGCGGTGGCTCAGACAATGTTAGTGGAAACCCCGTAGCTCGTTAATGACGGCTGTGGAAATGGTTTAAAACTATCAATTTGCTCAAAATAAATATATCCTTAGCCACGCGGAAGCTCTGCCGTGTTATTGCGGCGAGCGTTGCATTAGCTGGCGCAATCATTCCAGGGAAAGGGCAATTTCTAAGTAAGCGTAGGCCGGGGAGATCGGCTTGCCCCTGGATGCTTTGTTGAACCTAATATAAACGTCTACGTCGTGTTTCAAATTCAAACTTTATCATTAGTAAAAAAAGGCGTGTATGCCTTTTTCAAGGCTATATTTGTATAACCTACACGTCCTAAAAATAGTTTTCTATACCACTACATCGGGAAAACACTTTCCATCAGCCGGGCTAGGATGCGCGCCGAGATATACTTTATCGACGTCAAAATGTATGGGCAAAATCGATAAAATGGTGTGATAACCGCTTATCACGGCGCTCATTTTAGGCCTACAGTTGGGAAGCAGTCTAACAGCTTCTCTGTAGTGGTAAACATTTGGTTTGAAACCTAGTTAAATTTATAGATCGCTAAATTCTCTGTCTAACCAGCGTGCAAATATGGACATGTTCTTATAAAAATAGTTGTTTTTATACTGCAATATTTATACCCGGCACAAGTCACACATATAATAAAAAATAATGTCAAAACAAAACACAATTAATTTTAATCAAAATTTATATTATATCAAACAATTTTCAAGTTAATAAAAGCGTAGATAGTATTTTCGATGAAATAGATTTCATTTGAGTTTCGTAAATGGCTTCGGCTAACCAANACCCCAAAAGACTTAGGTTACACAAAAAGTATGTTTATCTTCGAACGCAACCAGATCTGAGGCTGGTGGCCATAGTAAATGTTGTTCGTCTTGGTAAGGCCTTTCAAATGACACTACAAACATAACTATTGGAGCCGGGTACTATTTTGCTAAAAAGTATGTTTATAATGTTTATCTTCGAACACAACCAGATCTGAGGCTGGTGGCCATAGTAAAAGTTGTTCGTCTTGGTAAGACCTTTCAAACGACACTAGAAGCATATCTATTGGAGCCGGGTACCATTTTGCCCATTGTCCTTTGACAGTGAGTGATTTCAATTATTTTTCTGCTATGGAGGATTTTGCGAGAAATTCACCGACTGTCTGAATACTAATTTAATTCGTAGTGTGGATCATCCATTCATCATAATAATAATATTGTGTGTACCTTATTCCATTGAATTTAATTATAACATTAAAACCGTTACTTATAACCACTACCAAAATATAACATGGCAATTACAGTAACTATATGTCTTTACAAATCCAAAGTCCACTGTAGTTTAACTACGTGAGGTAAAAACAATTATATAATTTACGTTGTTTTGAGAAAAGAAAAAATAACAATAGATATAAGGTGAGTAGTTTAATATTCAACTCATGTTATTCGAATATTTAGTCCATATCAACATCACTATTACGTCTTCGAACTAATTTTCTTAAAAAAAAAAAAGTTTCTCGTTGGTTGACAGTTGACAGTGACAGGTGTGGTGGTAGTAAAACAAAATCCCGAAAAATAACCAAAAAATGTTATCTTTTTACGTTTAATTGGTATTTATTTATTTTTAATCAAGCAATAATTTTATATTTTTAAGAATGTTGTCAATAAAGAGATTACCGACGCTGTCCGCCTCGAAGATTCAGTCAAAGATGCACTTCGACTTCCGACACAGTTTATTACAGCACCAAATAAACAAACGATGTGATTTCAATATTATAAATTTGTGCAGATCATTCTCAGCATTGCATAACTTAACGAGAAAATCCAGAAATCCGGTAAGTTACATAAACCTTGCCTACGCTTAAACTTGCCTAGTTATGTTTCATAGAGTTCATGTATGACCCAATGTTATGAAATATTTTGGAACTAGGAACTAGCTAATGAAAACCATAGTTCCAAGGCTTAGATTTGCCGGCTACAATAATATAGCAATACTTTATAGGCAGAAAATAGCATAGTATTTGAAAAATTGTTGTAAGTCCTACCAGTTTTAATTGAACCCAATATAATTGAATGGTTTTCATGCTTAAACCGTGAATTTCTGCTAAATGTTGTTGGTATTTCTTTTCAAACTTGCTTATAGTATTCTTATGGTATTTTAATTACAGCAACTTCACCAGCTCAATGCAGAGTGTAAAGCAGCATACTCGCTTTTAAAGCGATCAAATTTGCCAGCGTTGAATTCAATTGTAAATACGAGGCTGGGTTTCCGGGGCTTGCATACAACTTCTCCATCGTGTGAAAAACAGAATGAACCTAATGATGACAAGGTATTTATAGTATTTATCTACACTAAAATTATAAAGAGGAAAACTTTGTTTGTTTGGTTGTAATGAATAGGCTCAAAAACTACTGGACCGTTTATAAAAATTCTTTCACCATTCAAAAGCTACATTATCCACGAGTAACATAGGGTAAATTTTATTTTGGAAAAAAATAGGGTTCCGTAAAATATGTAGAGCGGAAAGCTAGTTAATGAATAAAAGTATCCAGTTCATGCCACACTACTTATTATTTAAAAAGCTTTACCAGCTATGGCAGTAAGATTTTATAAATCTCTCTTGTGGACTCGATGGCTGCAAAATTTAACTTATCACTATTTTTTATTCCATTGTTGTTATTTGCAGAACAAAAAAGACAAGAAAAAAGGTGACATAGATGATAACATGCCATCGCTGCTTCTAAAAGCAGCATTCTGGATGCTGACCACTAGTATACTGGTTATTGCCAGCTCCTTACTTGTTCCTAGTGACAACACGCAAAATGAGGTAAGTGCTCCTGTTAATATTGTAGTTTCTTTTGACACTTTCTCAGTACCAGCCAAAATGTTAACCTAAGGTGTTAATGAGGCAAGCTACATGAGTGTAACATCCGTATTCACGAATGATACTTGCTTATGTGAAGCCGAAACGCTATGCAAAGTTAATCGCACAGCATTGATTAGAGCTCTGTGATTGGTTCGCACTCACTCAAGTAAGAATAGGTTAGCTATGAATAGGTTTTAGGGACCCTGTGCGTCCATGTGCAATGTGATACCATAAGTAATGTTTGAGTATACGGTTGTGTTCTGATAAACCTACCTACCTACATATTAATAAAAAAAATTAATTTTGAATTTGTTATTCACATAGCTTAGTACCTATCTTTGAAAGTAAATAAATGTAATACTTACCTATTTAAGTATAATTTTTATGTTCTATGGCATAAGTGACATTGTTCTTTATAATGTGACCATTATAAAACAAGCTTACATTAAAACTAGAGGAACCTGAATTTTTCTTATCAACAGCTTCTTTACTACTGCCGGTTTTAAGTTTTGGATTCAATTTTCATATCAATAAAGTTCTTATCCGTTCCAGCTCATCCGATATGTCTCATGGAACGAGTTTGTCTACTCCATGCTGTCAAAAGGTGAGGTGGAGGAACTGATTGTGAGGCCAGATATGGAAGTCGTCACCATCATCTTGCACGAAGGAGCCATCATCAAAGGGAAAAAGGTATGAAATACAAAGATTAATGTAGCCTAAAACATTGACCTTGATAGGTTGCTAGTTAAAGAAAACATTATAAACCAAGAGTTATATGATAACTGTACAAAAGTTTGAATGAAAACTGTATTAACATAATTAGCGGTTAACCCTGTCTATACTTCTATATCTATACTAATATTATAAAGCTGAAGAGTTTGTTTGTTTGTTTACTTGAACGCGCTAATCTCAGGAACTACCGGTCCGATTTGAAAAATTCTTTCAGTGGTAGATAGCCCATTTATCGAGGAAGGCTATAGGCTATATAACATCACGCTACAAATAAGGCGGTTATCACACTGCGCCGCGCTCCGCCGCGGTGACGGCGGGACGACAGATTTAATCATTGTATGCAAGTACCTCAGTTTGTATAGAAAACACGCGCGGCACAACACACTGACAACGCGTCTGCGCGCGGGATTTTTTATAATTATGAAATCACGGAGCGCGCCGCAGTGTGATAACCGCCTAATAGGTGCAGAGCAAAAATGATTTTCACGCGTACGAAGTCGCGGGCACTGCTAGTTTATTATAAATTATGTTTAATAACCATTCATTTATATTTCCATATTAAAATTTACTTTATCAATGTTCTCTAGGTACCTATAGTAATCACTTATTTGCTTGTAGACAAATCATCGAGTGTACCATATGAATGTTGGAGACATACACAGATTTGAAGAGAAACTTAGAGAAATAGAAACAAGCTTGGGAGTTAAAGAAGGTATTTATATCACTATTGAGCTACAAAGCAACACAATAACAACGGCCCTTATATTGGAATGCCATGACGCGCTCCAAGACATTGCAGCTGTAAATGGCGTTACCCTGCAATGGATCAAAGGGCACAGTAACTCTTTAGGCAACAACGCAGCAGATGAACTGGCAAGAAGAGGTTCGGACACAACAGTATTTGGTCCGGAATCAATACTGCCGATACCACAAGCACAGATCGGGAACTGGATGCGCTCCAAAACAGAAGAAAAATACCACACACAATGGAAAAATAGCGAAGGATGCAGGCAAACAAAAGATGCGGTTCCGTACGTATTGAAAGAGTTCTCCCGCAGCCTCACCAGACTAAATAGGGCAGCATCCGCAAGGTCCTCAGTGTTATAACCGGACACTGTATGCTAAACAAGCACCAACACAACATAGGTGTTACAGACAGCCCACGATGCATGGAGGCAGAGGAAAGAGTGCAGCAGCGTAGCAGAACAACGGGCTCAATTTCTCCGATCACCATCGTCGCTGCAGGAGGCCTGTTAGCAGTTTAGACGGGCTGCTTGCCTTCTGGGGGGATCTGGGGTGGTTGGAGTAGGAAGATAAACCACAAATCGCGCACAAAGGCCCAAAATAAAAACAATACTTCGCGAAGAGTGTTGTCATACTCACATTGCATTGAGTGCGACTATTCGTTCGCATACAGGTTGCAAGTAATGTACGTACGTACAGCATGACTTCATACGCAGTCACTTGTGATTGAACGTATTCTGTTAGTTAACTCACAGCCTGTGCGATCTGTGGTCAAAACTCTAAAAAGTTAGAGTTAAAAAGAGTAGGCTCTAAAGCATTGGTTCCCTAGGGACAAACAACAAAGACCTTTAAAGGGGCCATCTGTGTACTTAAGTATAAAAAATCTGCGACCGCTGAGAGAATGCTTTCCAGACTGCTAATAATCTTGACTGGAGGAGGGGGGGCCGCGAAATTTTTTGTATGGTCGAAAGGGGGTGCGTCGCGCGTCTCAAATAAGTTTGGGAACCAATGCCCTAAAGCAGCGGTTCCCAAACTTATTTAGTCTACTGCCCACTTTGAGAATAAATTATTTTGAGCGCCCCCCATTTTTGTAGTCAAGAGTCGAGCTCAGTCGATGTCTAAGAGTCCTCCTAGTAGATGACGCCTCCCAAGCCTCTACACAACGTCCCGATTTTTTTCTGGGTCTCTTACCGCCCCCCTTTAAGCCTGCAGCGCCCACAAGGGGGCGTTATCGCCCATTATGGGAAAGACTGCCCTAAAGGAATATACCCTCCTATTGCGCAGTCGGATAAAACACCACTCGTTGCAGGCGTCCGCGTGATCTACGACCGTAACGGCAGCGTGGCCGGCAAGGTGATCACCACGCTGCTCATCGGCGCCGTCATCCTGTCCTTCCTGTACTCCACCAAGTCGATGAAGATGAACATCAACCTGGGAGGCTTTGTGAGTTACTATTAGATATCGAAAACCTAGTCAAACCTTATACATAATATTCACACACACACGCACACTCTCTCTCTCTCTCTCTTTCACAAACACACACACACACACACACACACACACACACACACACACACACACACACACACACACACACACACACACACACACACACACACATACATACATACATACATACACACACACACACACACACAAACACTGACAGGCGGTACAATAGAGATTAGGATATACTTAAATATTGTTAATACAAGAGCGGTGTTTCCTAACACAAATAGCACTGTATGCTTAAAAGGAAACTCCAAACCCTGTATATTATTTAAGTACTATTGTAATGAAATAATGTATTATGTATTTTTGTATTTGTATTTGTACCATCTATTGTACAATAAGGATAACTTCATGCTAATTTAACTTAAGCTTCAACCACACCAACGCGTGCAGACCGCCGGCGCGATCTAAGGCCAATGACAGGTCGCGTGAACTGTCGTCAACCTACAAGGTGGACCGACGACATCGTAAAGGTAGCAGGGAAGCGCTGGACGCAGGCCGCTACCAATCGATCAACATGGAAAGCATTGGGGGAGGCCTATGTTCAGCAGTGGACGTCCTATGGCTGAAATGATTATGATGTGAACTGTCATAGGTCGCGTGACCTGTCATTTTCCGTTGATCGCGCCGGCGATGGCGATCGGCACGCGTTGGTGTGGTTGAAGCTTGTCTGGCTTGCACCATTTTACTTTGACTTTAACAAACGTCAAAAATCTGTCATATTTCATACAAAATACACTGGTTATCTTTATAGTTACGGTCAAACTTAGGTGGTGCAACTCAGCTTATCAGTTAACATATCAAAAAATACCTGACACGAAAGTATTTTTTAACCTTTCAAAAAAGGTTTTATGTTCGGTTTTATATTTTTTTTAATTCATCGCAACAATGAAAAATTACAGAGTTAAACGCACAAAGCTCTGAAGTGCATTATCGTGAAGTCAAGTGGTAGAAAGTGTAGCACTATAATTATGACGTCACGCGGAACTTCAACGCGAGATAAAAAAAGCTTGTCCAATATTTTTGAAACTATAACTGATGGGCTTAACTAGTCTATTATTTGCCTATATCTGCGTGATAATATTGAATACGTGTTTTTAAAAGCTATTTTCATCATCATCATCATCATCATCTCAGCCATAGGACGTCCACTGAACATAGGCCCCCAATGCTTTCCATGTTACCCGGTTGGTAGCGGCCTGCGTCCAGCGCTTTCCTGCTACCTTTATGATGTCGTCGGTCTACCTTGTGGGTGGAAAAGCTATTTTAATTCAATTTAAAAACCCCCAGAACCAGCTAAGCCGCGCCAAGTTTACCCTAGTGGATAGCATGAGTGGTCAAGGCAAGGGCGTGAAGTTTGAAGACGTGGCTGGACTGCGCGAGGCAAAGATCGAAGTCATGGAGTTCGTGGACTACCTCAAGCGGCCGGAGCACTACAAGAGCTTGGGAGCTAAGGTGAGAATGCTTTGATAAACTGTTTCTATATTTATTTATTTACTAGCTGACCCGGCGAACTTTGTTCCGCCTTAATGGCAATAAATAAGCAGACTTTTTTTTTATTTCGAACGGGATAAAAAGTATCCTTTGTCCTTCTCCTGGCTCTAAACTACCTCCCTGACAATTTTCAGCTAAATCGGTTCAGCCGTTCTTGAGTTATAAGTGGAGTAACTAACACGACTTTCTTTTATATACAGTGTGTCCGGGCATGTAGTGATCAAACTTTAAGGGCGTAATCTATGGACAATTTTATCGGTGAAAATACTTTAAATTTAGGGCTTGACCCATTTCTCGCATATTTACAAGGATTTAAGTTTTTAATTTTAAGTTTTCACCTCTTCCTTCAAAAACAAGTGATAGCGTGGGTAACCTAAAATTAATAAGCAAATATTTTATATCATGCGATAGCCAATAAAATTATCTTCTAGTAGAAGTAGAAAACAGACACAAGTTTCATACATGTTAAGGGAGTAAGAATGGATTTAATTAGAAAAAAAAATGACTTTTTTCACTTAATTTTCAGTTATTTTCCAACACAAGAAAAACCAGGTCGTTAAGGTATGTTTTATTTGCATTGTATTATTAGTATTTGAGCCATTCTACAAAACGAATGTAAATTCATTAGTCTACGTCTATTAGTTTCGACGTAATTGTTGAACAGAGATACCCATTCCCAGCGGTTTCCATAGTAATCGGAATAGGTTGTGTGATTCGTTCAGGCAGTGCATTTTCGCATGTCGCGTGCGCTATGGAAACCACTGGGAAGGGGTATCTTTGTTCAACAATTACGTCGAAACTAATAGACGTAGACTAATAAATTTACATTCGTTTTGTAGAATAGCTCAAATACTAATAATACAATGCAAATAAAACATACCTTTACGACCTGGTTTTTCTTGTGTTGGGAAATAACTGAAAAAGATGTAAAAAAAATCATGTTTATTTCTAATTAAATCCATTCTTACACCCTTAAAATGTATGAAACTTGTATCTGTTTTCTACTTCTACTAATAGATAATTTTATTGGCTATCGCATGATATAAAATTTTTGCTTATTAATGTTAAACTACCCACGCTATCACTTGTTTTTGAAGGAAGAGGTGAAAACTTAAAATTAAAAACTTAAATCCTTGTAAATATGCGAGAAATGGGTCAAGCCCCAAATTTAAAGTATTTTCACCGATAAAATTGTCCATAGATTACGCCCTTAAAGTTTGATCACTACATGCCCGGACACACTGTATATATAGATTATTAGTGCAAAACACTTGTAAGCTTACAGAGCAGGTCCAAAGCGCTTACAAGCTTAAAAATAAAATAAACATGTCATACACTTAGGTCACAATGTTACATGTTTTCTGTATCTGTGTGCTTACCATGAGTTTACGTTAGGTGTGCTCGCTAGCGACTGCGTAAAAAAATGACATTAAATGTATGACATATTGTGCAGCGCCCCTAGCGGCAATTTCAAGACAAAAAATCTTCACAGTTTTTTTTTACGTACTCGCTAGCGAGCACACCTAATGTAAACTCATGGTAGGCACACTGGTCCCCCTAAATTATATCCATTTTTTCCATGGTGTTAATACAAATAGATAATTCTCATTTAACTTTAATTGATTTGGAATAGAGCAACAACCACGAGCTGTCAAACGAAACCAATTTTGGATGAAACTTGTGTGTCAGTGTCAAGATTATTCCACTGTTTTGTGCAATAAATCAATCACTGAACCAGTCGCCACGTTTCTGAAGCACTATTTCTCATAAACATCCACGATTTCACTCGTGTAAAATCTGAAAATATATCAGAGTTCAAATTTTCAGCGTGCCACTATGCCTCTAAATGCGAAAGTTTGTATGGATGTTAGGATGTCATAATGTATGTTTGTTACTCTTTCACGCAAAAACTTCTGAACGAATTTTGTTGAAACTTTACAGTATTATTGTTTGCAACCCAGATTAACATCGCGGGTGAATCCGCGAGCAAAAGCTAGCAGTACGCACTACTTTTGTTTGTTACCTATATACATGCTTATTTTGTATCCTGCTGATTTCTTATTATCGTTATGCTGCAACTTTACTATTTCATGTAAATAAATGATTTATCTATCTATCTATCCAGTGCAGTGGTTCTTAACCTTTAAGTCATGGGGGACCATTTTACTAAATTTCTGTCTTGTCAGGGACCACCTCATAATCGGTCAAAACCAGTTTGACTGCAAAAATCAGTTAAAAGTGGTTTTAACCAAGGTGTGCAAGTGCACTTCGTGGACCACTTGGAATGTCTCCAGGGACCACCAGTTAAGAACCACTGATCTATGCTGGATTTCTATATTCAATCCTAATCCAAATTGGACGGATTTGGATTGTCAACTGTCTTTTTAATATGTTTTTAGCCAAAATATCTGCGGTTTTTGATGTTTTTACATTTTTATATTGTTTATATGACTATTTAAACAATATTAAAGTGTAAATGCATCGAACATTTAGGAAATATAATCTAAAACTGAATTCAATTTGACAGTTGTAATCCGGATTTGTGTAGAAAAATCCCAATTATCCTTCCAGGTGCCAAAAGGAGCGTTGCTGCTGGGCCCGCCTGGCTGTGGCAAGACTCTCTTGGCCAAAGCAGTGGCCACTGAAGCCAACGTGCCTTTCCTCTCCATGAATGGCTCCGAGTTCATAGAGATGATTGGTGGGCTAGGCGCTGCGAGAGTCAGGTAAGCAATACACGTGTGGACGATAGCACATCAGACTAAAGCCCGGTCTGTGAGCACGTAGAATTTTGTCCAATGACCCCAAGTTGCTGTCGCGCTCGCACACTCACTGCGGGCGCCCGTCGCACAGTCGCGACAGCAATATAATTACGCGCGAGCGATAAGGATGGGTAGCTTGGGGTCATTGGACAAAATTCTACGTGCTCACAGACCAGACTATTTACGTTATTGATGTTAAGATGCCACGGAATTTCGCTTGATGTGATTGGTATTTAATAAAATATACCACGCAGGACTATTTCAGTTAAAGAACCACGATGGGAGTACGTCAGTGAAATTACCATATCGGGACTACCTCAGTGAAATTGACCTGAGATCTTGAGAACTATATCAATAAAATGAACCACGTCTTTTGTATTTAATTTTTTAGCGTTAAGAGTTGCATCTGAAACTAATATGAAAATTATAAATAACTTGAAAAAAATCGAACTGCCTAAGGCGGGAATTGAACCCACGACCTTCCGCTTGCCGGGCGACTGCTCTTTCAACTGAGATTTTGATTTTTTCAAGTTATTTATAATTTTCAAATGAACCACGTCAGTCGTAAATACGAAGTTATGCTGTTGCTTATTTCATTACTTCATCAACATTCTGCCAAAGTCGGTTTGTAGATGGCAGTCGCTACTGTACTCTCCAAGAGGGCTAAACTTTGCTCGCGTTGAAGTAACTATTCTCCCACAAATACAGGGTGTCCCAAAAAGCAGTGTCAATCTAAAGCCAAGAGGTAGAGCATCAGCAGGGCTATCCGAATCACCCCCATGTATATTCCGCGGTTTTTTATAGAGTTAAGATTATTTTAACTTTCTGTATGTGCACTTTTTTGGTCACTGTGGCGCGAGTAGAAAAGGTACATGTGTGATTCAGAAGTATTTACATGCATCCATAAATCCTGTGTGTTGTCAAAAAGAATCATAACTCGAAAACTGTCAAAAGTCGCGGTGATTCGGGTAGCACTAGTGATGCTTTGCCTCTAGGCTTCGAATTGACACTACTTTTTGGGACATCCTGTATTAATTACTTCAGATACCTTCTTTTCTAAGGCTTAGAACTCATGGCGCGATTTCCAACCGCGCCCGCGGTGTTTGCATGCCCGTAGCTTCTGTAGAATGGAGATAATTATGTAAAAATTAATGCACTACACAATCGCGTAGGCCGCGGTAAACGCAGCCTCGGCGATTTTTTCCCGCGCACGCGGCGCTTGCGGTTGGGCGCGGTTGAAATTCGCGTCGTGAGTTCTTAGCCTAAGTTTTCTCTAACTAATACCACAGAATAAAAATAAGTACTACGTACAGAAGTTTTACTTCGCGAAGGTATTTAAAAAAAAATGCTCAATGTCATTAACAATATGGTGTAATTTAGCCTGTCTCAAGAGTCAAGCACCATTTTGTTGACAAACGTCAGTGATCGGCACTGCGCCGAAGCTATAGGGCTGACTTCTGTAAAATGATGTGACGTAAGGTGCCAAACTGCGTAAAATGGCGAATGAAATACATGATTTAGCATGAATTATCATGAATAATATTAACTACTTATTTACCTCTCAGTATCTTGAGGCAACTTAAAAAAGTACATTCTGTGTTTTTATTATTATTTAGGCAGTTAAATACTGCACAGTATTTAGTACACCATTTTCTTTATTTTCTTCCATCATACACAACAATACGCGTGCGTGAGTCAATGTTCGCTCGTATGTGAGGCCTTGTCGAATAGTATCCTGTAGGTGGGCCATCGTGCGTGTTTTGTTTTCGATGTAAACTCGCGGAGATGAAAAGGCCTGCTAATACTAATTTATTCACTTGTCTCCCAGAGATCTGTTCAAGGAAGCAGCTTCTCGTGCGCCCTGCATCATCTACATAGACGAGATGGATGCGGTGGGACGCGCGCGGTCATCCGGCGCGACTTCCTTCGGCCCTGGTGGGGGGGAGGGGGAACAGACCCTCAACCAGCTGCTGGTGGAAATGGACGGCATGAAGAGCCGGGAAGGAGTCGTGGTTCTGGCCTCGACTAACAGGGCTGATGTGCTTGATAAGGTATGTCTGATTCACAGATCACAGAAACTAAAGGGACACCGCCAAGGGGGCGGGGCCAGTGTCGCCGCAATATGCCCAAAAACAGAACACATTGCTGCAGGCGTCGTTATTCGTTAGTTGAGTACTGATACCGCAGTGGATAATGAGCACATATTTTGATTATAGCCTGACCAGGAACATAAAAACCCTGGCATAGAGGAGCGTCAATTGCATTTGATAGTGCAACACTGAGTACAGTCGTACCTGTGTTAAATTAATAGGCTAACTTTATGTATCAGGATTCAGGATTACGGGCTAATTTGATATTTTCATAAATTAACGAAAAAATATTATTATAAGTTACCTGGTTTAAATAAATTAATTGAAACCATCAATCGAGCTAGTAGGATTTATTTTATTATACATCAATAATCAAATTCAGAACTTAAATATTCAACTGCAATGTCTGCTCATGAACGCTTCAAACTCGGTACTTCTTTCCCAATTCCATAAAATTCAACACTTAGAAAGTGACAAAAAACTTTAAAATAGGTAGTTGAAACAAACCACAGCTAATTTTCATAGTGGACTGTAGGTACTATACGATAAACATGCCAGTCAATTTGACAACCTTTGTCGGAAACATTATTCAATGAAAATATTGTCCGAACCTTTAGTATTTCTCTTCGACAAATACTTTAACACATTGTGAACCACTTTTCTTTCACGACTATAAAAAGATTTTAGCAATGTAATTCAAAAAATCAATTGCGCACATTTAAAATAAAGTTTGTTTACACTTTGACAGCAATAGACTGACATGCAAGGTGACATTTCAATGAAGTTTTCAGTTACTGTTGCCATTAAAAGAAATTAGTACCATTAGTTTTCCGCAACATGGCGAGGGTTTTTATGTTCCTGGTCGGGCTATACTTTGTTTGTTTTTAATTTCTGATGCGACACTGAGTTTCGAACTTAGCGCATTAGTTGGCATCTGTCTGTATCTATGGTCTGATTAGAGGAACATGGTAATCTTTAAACGGCACTATTCCCACCTCTCTTTCCCACCGCAGCCAGCACCGTAGCCAGGATCTACAGCTTGACCGCCAATAAAAACCCAACCAGTGAAGTAAGTTGATTGAAGATGAAAATTATTATTTACAAAGTCAACTTAGCTTGTTTAAACCTTCGGGATGCGGTAGTAGGAACGCAAATCTCATCCCTATTACGTCTGCACCAATATGAAGGATTTGCTCTACCTTTCGTACCATTTGTCATCTGCTTTACACTGAAAGGAGCATGTAGCTAACGTGCCCAAACGAACTCACGCATGCGCACAAACGTTTTAAAGTATACATACATACCTAACTACACACAAATCTAAGAATAAATAGGTATGCAAGAAACAAATTTACGAAAACAATGAGAATATTTATAGTTAGTATGCTAGCGTCCGCCCGCGACTTTGTACGCGTGGAACCCGTTTTATTTCCTTAGGGGTTGAATTTTGCAAAATCCCATCTTAGTGAGCACCTAGGTTGTAAAAGGAAAATTCCATGCATGAGCCTCCTACATTTGTAGTTTCTGAGATTTCGTGATGAGTGAGTCAGTCAGTGATCTTTCGCTTTTTGTAATGCATATGGATTCCACCTCCGCGCCATGTCGGTAATAAAAAACTGTTATAGTTGACCCACGCTGAACTGTCCCACCAAACTCAATGACAGGGGGGCGCTACCATCGTTCAACTATATGGTTTCCAACATGGCAAAAATCTGAACCAGCGATCCGGTATTGACGGTGGCGCCCCACTGTCAATGTCATCGACAGGACAGTCCAGTATTTTGGAACTATATATTCCAGGCACTGCTCCGACCAGGCCGCTTCGACCGCCACATCCTGATCGACCTGCCGACTCTTCAGGAGCGCGAGGAGATCTTCCAGCGGCATCTCAAGAGCATCGTGCTGGAGGAACTGCCGCCCTACTATGTCAAACGGTAAACACCACAGAGGGCAAAGTGTGAGTTAACAAAAAACGTCCTCACTAGTGAACGCTTAAAAAAATGACATTAAACGTATGACGGATTGTAAAGCGCCCCTTGCGGAAACGTTCAAAAACTAAAATTTTCATACATTTTTCTAACGCGCTTACTAGTTAGAACGTTTGGTGTAAACTCAAACTCAGCCCACAGATGACAGAAACTAAAGGGAGATGTGAAAAGGGGGCGGGGCCAGTGTCGCAGCAATATGCCCAAAAACAGAACACGTTGCTCGCGACAGCAATGATGACAGCAGTGACGTTAATTGGCAGGGTGCAAAGTGGGTGGAGGGAAATAAAATTGGCATTTTAGTCGCTGACTTGAGCTGTCAAATCCATATTGCAGTAAACATTTTCTAATCGTTTTTGAGATAAAATATGGTTTTAGTAAGATGTGTCGTTGTGAATTGTAATGACACCAAGAAGAATAGCGACTGTAAATTTTACCAATTTCAAAGACCGCAGTGGAAACGAGCTCAAAGAAATAAATGATAATGATGATGGCACGAAACCCCGTTTTAGTCACCAGTAGACTCATTTTTCACTAAAACAATTTGAATGTTATCGGCAATAATGTTACTGACTACCATCGTCCAAAATCGTCAAATATAGTAAAACTAGCTGTGCCCGCGACTTCGTTTTTTTGACATTGTTGCTCTGCGTTTATTACTAGTAGCGTGATGGTATATAGCCTATAGCCTTCCTCAATAAATGGGCTTTCAAACACCGAAAGAATTTTTCAAATCAGACCAGTAGTTCTTGAGATTAGCGCGTTCAAGTAAACAAGTAAACAAAAAAACTCTTCAGCTTTATAATATTAAGTATAGATACCACAAGATTTCATAATTTTTTTCACATTATTTACTTACTTCTTGCTTGACAGCGGTGACAATATTGCCCTTAATAGCCACCTGTACAGGGCGTTGTCAGATACGCAAAGAAAAAAATAAATATTTATTACGATGAACATCACTTAGAGCAGGGTTTCCCAATTTTTTTTTGCCAAGGAACCCTAATTGATTATACTTTTCCTAGCGGAACCCCCGTACTACTCCGCCCACACGCCCTGCCCCTCCCTTGTGCGTAAACAAGTCGGTGCGCGCGAACAACGGCAGTCACGAAACGTGGGATGATATTTTTTACGGAACCCTTGCGGCCTTACCACGGAACGCCAGGGTTCCGCGGACCACCTTTTGGTAACCGCTGACTTATAGAACAAAGAAAGTATACAGTAAAAGACAGAAATAGCGCATAAATATTACAAGGAAATAAAAAGAGAACTGAGCAGTGCCACCCTGTTACAACAGCGATGCCCTTCGCAATGGAAAGAAAAGAAAGAAAAAAAGAAAANGGGATGGGATGGGACCGCAATGGGACTCCACTCAGCATATGCCGTGGCCTACGGTGGAGGCCACGGCGCTAGTTTTCAGTGACATTACAGGATACGCCATCATTACTGTCCCTGATCGTTTCCAGGCTGTCATACCTCACGCCCGGCTTCAGCGGCGCGGACATCGCTAACGTGTGCAACGAGGCGGCATTGCACGCCGCGCGGTACAAACAGACAATCGTACGCGCCGCCGACTTGGAGTACGCCGTGGAGAGAGTTGTCGGTGAGTTGACGCCGTAAAACCATTTATAGCCTGACCAGGAACATAAAAACCCTCGCCATGTTGCGGAAAACTAATGGTACTAATTTCTTTTAACAGTAACTGAAAACTTCATTGACATGTCACCTTGCATGTCAGTCTATTGCTGTCAAAGTGTAAACAAACTTTATTTTAAATGCGCGCAATTGGTTTTATGAATTCGATTGCTAAAATATTTTTATAGTCGTGAAAGAAAAATGGTTCACAATGTGTTAAAGTATTTGTCGAAGAGAAATACTAAGGGTTCGGACAATATTTTCATTGAATAATGTTTCCGACAAAGGTTGTCAAATTGACTGAGATGTTTATCGTATAGTACAGTCCACTATGAAAATTAGCTGTGGTTTGTTTCAACTACCTATTTTTAAAATTTTTGTCACTTTCTAAGTGTTGAATTTTATGGGATTGGGAAAGAAGTACCGAGTTTGAAGCGTTCATGAGCAGACATTGCAGTTGAATATTCAAGTTCTGAATTTGATTATTGATGAATAATAAAATAAATTCTACTAGCTCGATTGATGGTTTCATTTAATTTATTTAAATCAGGTTACCTATAATAATATTTTTTCGTTAATTTATGAAAATATCAAATTAGCCCGTAATCCTCAATCCTGATACATAAAGTTAGCCTATTTTTAATTTAACACAGGTACGACTGTACTCTGTGTTGCACTATCAAATGCAATTGACGCGCCTCTATGCCAGGGTTTTTATGTTCCTGGTCAGGCTATAACTACCGTGTCATCATCATCATCATTTCAGCCATAGGACGTCCACTGCTGAACATAGGCCTAATGCTTTCCACGTTGATCGATTGGTAGCGGCCTGCGCCCAGCGCTTCCCTGCTACCTTTACGATGTCGTCGGTCCACCTTGTGGGTGGACGTCCCACGCTGCGTTTTCCGGTACGCGGCCTCCACTCCAAAACCTTGCTGCCCCATCGGCCGTCAGTTCTGCGTATTATGTGCCCTGCCCACTGCCACTTCAGCTTGCTGATCCGTCGGGCTATGTCAGCGACTTTAGTTCGTTTACGGATCTCCTCATTTCTGATTCGATCTCGTAAAGAAATACCGAGCATAGCCCTCTCCATAGCACGCTGTGCAACTTTGAGCTTCTGTATAAGGCCTACCTGACGACGGCCTGATAAAGGTAGCAGAAAGGCGCTGGATGCAGGCCGCTACCAACCGTGCGATATGGAAGTCATTGGGGGCTATTGGAGCCTATGTTCAGCAATGGACGTCCTGTGGCTGAAATGATGATGATGGCTGTGTATTTGCGGATCTGTAAAGAAGTTTGGACCCTTGTAACTTGTTAAATAGCAATGATTGAGTATTTGACAGCACCAACCAATATTCAAGGTAGAATTTTTCAAAAACTCCGTTGTATGTAGCCTTAATTTAATTGGTTTTCAATCAACTGGAAACTTTGATGATCGGTTGCTTTGATATTGATAAACGTGTTGTCAACGTGTTGACGTCATTGAAAATCTACAGAAAAATCTCGTTCAACAAATTCCAATTCAAGTCTTAGGCCCAGTTTTTTGATTCGTAGTTTAGATCAGTTTGAAACCGGTTTGAAATGGTCGCGTCATGTGTGGTCTCTCAACGGAATCTATGGCAGAAACTTAGATGCAACTCAAAAGTAACTAGAAGTTGCAGTTTCGTTGCAATTGCGTTTCACCGTGTGTTCTGGGCCTTAATCAAATGGAAGAGTCAGAATGGACTCGCATTACCTCCTTCAAAAGATCCAGCTGGAAAGTCTGCATTAGCGAAGGACCAATGGGACACAGCTGATTGCGTGCAGTCAGCGTCAAATAGTTCGTGACATCCAAAATAGCCGATAATGCGAACTTACACGTCTTTGTTAAAATTGGAATAAGGTTGTGTTATCAACTTTTTGACTACTTTGGGTGTCACATAATCACTGTCTATACTCTTCAGCATTCCTCCATAGCCTTTTCCTTGGCAGCACCTCATTATCGTCAAAGAAAATATTATATTTTGTCACAAATTTTATTTCTTCTGATAAATGTTGTTGGTCCAGTCCAATGACAATCTTAACTTAACGCGCGGGACAACTTGACCTTCATTGTTTGGGTTTTATTTGTTCTGGCTACACAGTATTTGCCGTTGTGTGCACAAGAAATGGGAATATTCATTTTTAATGTTACAAATTCCAGGTGGCACAGAAAAACGCAGTCACGCCATGTCCCCAGCAGAGAAGAAGATAGTGGCATACCACGAGTCGGGACACGCGTTAGTGGGCTGGCTACTAGAACACACGGACGCACTGCTCAAGGTCACCATCGTGCCTCGAACCAACATGGCGCTGGGATTCGCGCAGTACACCACGTCAGACCAGAAACTTTACTCGCAGGAAGAGGTGAGTCTCCCTAGTTTGGCTTATGATACAGTATCGTAAGTCTAATTAGTTAGGATACTAGTGGACTGCCTGTTGAAAGACGGACGCGCTGTTCAAGGTCACTATCGTGCCTCGAACCAATATGGCGCTTTTTCTTCTTTTCGTGTTGACAACAAACTTACAAAGTGTCAGCCTGAAATTTCGCCACAAGAGTGGCGTTGTCAGCAGCATTCATCAAATCCTTCTGAGTGCAGTTGCTTGGGCACTCAGGGCACGATATCAAGTGCTTTAATATAGCGCTGGGATTCGCGCAGTACACCACGTCAGACCAGAAACTATACTCACAAAAAGAGGTTAGTTAGTTTATATCACTTGTACACAGCAGTCCTGCGCCGCTCGCATCCAGGCTTCTTCTCGCCACTTTCACCAGATCGTAGGTCCACCTAGTGGGGTGCCTGCCCACACTACGTCTTCCACCAACTGTGTGTGTGTGTATACAATGTGTCCGGGCATGTAGTGATCAAATTTTAAGGGCGTAATCTATGGACAATTTTATCGATGAACATATTTCTTTGGGGCTTGACCCATTTCTCGCAAAATTACGAGGATTGAAGTTTTTAATTTAGTTTTCACCTCTTCCTTCAAGAACAAGTGATAGCGTAGGTAGCTGAACACTAATAAGCAAAAAATATTTAGGTATGTTTTATTTGCATTGTATTATTAGTATTTGAGCTATTCTACAAAACGAATGTAAATTTATTAATCTACGTCTATTAGTTTCGACGTAATTATTGAACAAAAATACCCCCGGGCCTGGGCCCCCCGCCGCCGGCTTGTTAGGCCGGTGCGGGTGTCGAGCTGACGCTCATTACCCGGGCTTCTTCTCGGGCAGATTCCTCCGTCCGGTGGCTGTGTTCGCCTCATTGCGAGGCGTTAGTCTCCACCCTAGCGCCCTGGGCCCGCCCTCGGCGCGGTACAACCCACCGGGTGAGTCGACGTTCGTCGAGGCCCAGTGAGCTACCAGCGAGCAGGCGGGCGAGCGAGGCGCCAGGGGAGATCTATTTCAGGTTGAAACGTTGGCGGAGCAGCGCAAGGTTGCGCTGCGCCGTCTCACGAAGGTCCTCCTCTCCGTACGCCAGGTCGGACAGGACCTGGACGATCGTGTCCGTCGCTTGGCGCACGAAGGAGGTGGGGTCGGCCAGGTGCTCGGGTGGCGGCAGCGGCGGCCACTCGTCCGCTTCCGCCTGCGGGGCGGGGCGGGGGGCCGGCCGGGGCGCCGGGGGGAGGGCGCGAGCGAGCAAGCGCGGGTCCTGCCGCTGCGCCGTGCGCTCGCGCTCCGGTGGTGGCCCCGCTGCGGGCGTCGGGACGCCTCGGGCGGCGCCGCCTGCGGGGGCCGGGGCGAGTCCCCGCTCGCGCTCGACGGCCCCCGCGCGCGCGCCGCCGGGCGTCGCCCCCGGGTGCGGGGTGGGCGCGCGCGAGCGGGGCGCGGCGGCGGCGGGGGGCGGAAGCGGCAGCGCCGCTGCGTCGCCCGGCCCGTCCGCGCTCGTGCCGCGCCTGGCTCGGCGCCTGCGCCTGCGACGGCCGGCAGGGTGCTCGGGTGGTGGGGCCGTGCGGCCTTCCTGGCCGCAGGCGGGAGGGGCCGGTGTCTGGGCGACGCCTGGCGCCTCGGGGCCCGGGGGGGAGGTTTTTTTTTAATATTCGGTCTCTTGGGATAAGTTATTCCATTTGAGCAGTAGCATTAATCCTTTTTATTTGATCACATACAAAAATAACACAAGTGTTTAGGAAAACTTCTTCTTTGGTATGGTATCACCACGGAGTTATAATGGCGGCAACTCTGTATCACTGAGGCCTAATTCACACGAGAGCTTTTTTAACGTCCGTTAAAAAAGCTTTCAAATAGAACATAATATGCATACCCAAGCCTATTCCCAACGCTCTGCGTTGAAAATGCAACACTGCTCGATAAAAAAGCGTCGCGTTTTAAAAGCGCCGACGTGTGAACACGTACTTGGGTATGCATATGTTCTATTTGAACGCTTTTTTAACGGACGTTAAAAAAGCTCTCGTGTGCCTGGCTCACTCCGCGCGGTTTATCCGTTATTTACCTACAGCGAAGCGCCCCGCCGGCGGGTATTAAGGCCTCATTCGCACGAGAGTTTAAAAAGCGTTGCGTTATAACCCGGCGTCGGCGCTTTTATAACGTCCTCAATGTGATCATTCATACGAACGCTTTTAAATCACTTTCGTCTCGTCCCTCGCTTTAGTAAGACGTGGCAATGGTTTCTGCTAAATTACTAGCAATAGCGATTTGTGTTGCTAGAAGACGAAGAAAGAAACAAAGGACATTCTGGGTACATCCTCTGAATGAACAGAGATACTTTAAAGGACAGTTTGTGACACTGTACGAAGATTTGAGGCAATATCCCAGTAAATTTTTTAATTATTTTCGAATGAGTATAACAACATTTGACGAATTATTGGAAATAGTGGGGCCTCAAATAACACTTCAAGATACCAACATGCGTTTGGCGATACCACCTACACTACGACTGGTTGTAACACTGAGGTAAGTAATACAATAAAACCAATATTACAAAGCAATAATTATTTATTATTAATTGTTATTAAAAATAAAAACTTATTTAAGACAATCGTCTGGAGACAAGGGATATTCTTCTGGCGAACTTATATTGAGTAATAAGGGACTTTGAACCGTTGTTGAGCTAAATGAGTCGGTATTCGATGGAGATGGACAAATATTTGGGTTGAAAGTGGTAAAGTAACTTTGGGCAGATTGTGGCCTAGAACTTTGTGCAGTTAATAAATTAGCGGGCCGGTACAGTCGATTCTCTAAAATCTGAATTACATTCGATTGATGTACAGGATTAATGGATGAGGATTGATGCAAAGATAGTGTTGGATTGGACTCTGACTGCTGCTGATACATATTATGGGCTTGAGTGGATGTTGGTTGCGACTGTTGCTGTTGTGTGGTTTGACTATACATGTGTGTTGATTGAGCCGAAAAGTTGGAATTTGTGTGGCTCCAATACGGTACAACGTTTGGCCTATTAAATGGTGATTGGTTTAGCTCACTGTTATATGTATTACGCGACTTATTGGTGAATGTGCGAATTACTTTCAATATTTCGATTTTGGCTAGCATTTTGTTATCATCGTCCATTTTTTTAAGTGACTGAACCAGTGATAAACAGTATGTCTTATCTTCGTCAGCTTCAGATATTTCATTGTTCATGGCCTTCAGAATTGCATCCTCAAACGAGGATGTGGTTTCCTTTTTTTTCTTTGGGGTCTCTGAAACACTACGTGTGACCGTGGATGGTCCAGCGGGTGAATTTTCAATGTTTGGTGTTAACGGGTTTTCAGTATTTTCCTCCAAAACATTTTTTGGAGTACTGTAGTTTCCGGAAGTTTTAGCATCCTTGACGTGTGGAATTAGAAATAGTAATTGGTCGTAATATCTATATTTTTTTCTCTTTTTTGCACCTTGTCCTGATGCTACTTCTTTTTGGGCTTGGTACTCACGCCGGAAGTTGTCCCTTAAGTGTTTCCACTTTGCTTGTATGTCTTTGCCTGAAAAAGATAACAAGTGTCATAAATTTGTCATCACATTTTATTTGTTACAGATTTTTAGCATCAGGCAACAATTTTCATGATTTACATTACCAGTTTCTACTTGGAGTGTCTACCATACATTACATTATTAAACAAGTCTGTGACGCAATATGGAATTGTTTAAGGCCTATGTATATGCCAGAAAAAACAAAGGACGACTTTAAAAAAATATCTGAAGAATTTTATCAACGCACTAATTTTCCCAATGTGATTGGGGCCGTCGATGGCAAACATATTGAAATGGCAAAGCCTAATCAAAGCGGTTCACTGTACTATAATTATAAAAATTACTTTTCTATAGTTTTAATGGCAATTTGTGATGCAAACTATTGTTTTACTTGCATTGAAGTAGGATCATATGGCGGTTCCACTGACTCAAACATATTTAAAAATACATCATTTAACAGGCAATTACAATCGGGCAAAATCGATTTACCAGAACCGAAAACACTACCGAATGATCCGAATGGGAAACGTATGCCATTTTTATTAATTGGCGATGAAGCTTTTGCCCTATCTGAACATGTTTTACGACCATATCCGAACCGAAACTTGACTGTGCAACAACGTGTTTATAATTATCGACTAACACGGGCACGAAGAATGATTGAGTGCAGTTTTGGTATTCTGTCAAACAAGTGGAGAATTTTAACGAGGGCTATAGATCTTCAACCCGATCCAACGATATCAGTAGTCAAAGCATGTTGCGTTCTGCACAATTTTGTCAGACAAAAAGATGGATTCAAATTTGATGATATTTTATTTGACAGTACAATGCATGGTCTACAACCAACAGGTCTAAGAAGTAACCACACGGGTCTAGAAATACGTGATTATTTTGCTAAATATTTTACATCGCCACAAGGTTCTATTCCTTGGCAATATCAAGCTATCAATAAATAGAATATGAATTGAAAATATAAATGAAATAAAAATATAAAATTAATAAAGGTGTATTATTTACTTACTTCGGCTAATTTTTTCCTCATTGGTGAGGGTTTCCCAGTCCTCTGACAGTTTTTTGGTAACGTCCTCCCAGGCATTATTTTTCATAATTTTATTTGAGTATTCTGTCAATGTTTTTGCGTATAGAAGTGGCCGAGATTCAACTTCTAAAATAAGGACTTCAGGATCTACAACCCACGACATCGTATCGACGTTCTCAACAAGCACGCCGCAAAACAGAACAAACACGTCCGACCACTAAGAGAGCGCGCGGCGTACTGATCGCAGCGCCGGCGCTTTTTTAACGCTCGTGTGAATAATAATATAAAGTTTCATACGGCCTATTCCCAACGCTCTGCGTTGAAAATGCAACACTGCTCGATAAAAAAGCGTCGCGTTTTAAAAGCGCCGACGTGTGAACACGTACTTGGGTATGCATAATGTTCTATTTGAACGCTTTTTTAACGGACGTTAAAAAAGCTCTCGTGCGAATGAGGCCGTACTTGGGTATGCATAATGTTCTATTTGAACGCTTTTTTAACGGACGTTAAAAAAGCTCTCGTGCGAATGAGGCCTTATATCAGTCGAGTTACACGCGCGCGCCCGTCAGGACTTGATGTTTGCCTTTAATAAATAATTTCTTTTGAATACAATTTATGGACGTCTTTCGGCTGAAACGAACGAATGAACAATTTATGAAGCCTGCCCCTGTAAATCAAACGGAAGCGTAACAGCGGGACACCAAATTTACGGCTAGCTCTTTTTTAAGCTAGTTCTTTTACCGTAATGCATAGGAAAAATATTCAGGAAAAAATAAATTGTTGCAAATGTGCACTGAGTAACATTAAAGTAAGTTTGCGCAAAGCCAAATACAAACATGATTTTCGGGTGACTCCTCTCGGTCTAAGATGAAGCCGTTTCGTGTTTGCGTAGTAAGTAGATAGGTATGTCATTCTTTCTTCTGTAATAGTAGGTATGTTTAATTTATTCGTCTTATGTTAAAATAGCTATGAATCTTTATTCATTGTAATTATAGTAACATTGTATTAAATAAATATTTTTTTATCCTAAGTTGGTATATTTGAAATGTTATTTTTTACAAAGGTAGAATAACAGTAATACTTACATACCCCATACGCACATACATACCTCACAGCAAAGCAAGCAACCCTAACAACGTAAGAAGAGTTCAGAGACACGCGATAGAAAGAGACAAAACTTGTAGTTGAATAAAATTGTAGGTACGTAGTGCTATGCGAGCTGAATTACACTGTATCGGGTGGTAGCAAGACTCGCATTTATTTAAATTGGCTTGCGGAGTAATCCTTCTATTGGTTATTTATTCTGTGCCACCGGAGAGGCGGGAGCGGAAGAGTGGCCGCCGCAGCGTCGGCAGCGCCGCCCGAACATTTGACCGACCCCACCTCCTTTATGCGCCAGGCGACGGACACAATTTACCAGGTCGGAGACAGTACGGGGAATAATTAACTTTTTAAAAAAATAAAACCGACTTCAAATGCGTAAACACAAAAAAAAAACTAAAAATTAAAAATATTGCGTATAAAAAAGTTCATCCCCAATTTTCCACCCTTGGGGGTTGTTTTTTCTATTATTAAATTTAAATGGGACCACTCTTGAGGTATTACCTATACGCCGAAAAAAGATTTGTTCAAATCGGTTCATAATTGGCGGAGTTATCGCGTAACAAACATAGAAAAAAAAAACATACGGGTCGAATTGAGAACCTCCTCCTTTTTTGAAGTCGGTTGAAAAAAAGACGTTCGCGAGACGGCGCAGCGCTACCTTGCGCTGCTCCGCCAGAAGTTCAACATGAAGTAGAATCGGGACTATTCCCACCTCTCGTTCCCACCACTGCAACTCCTGTGTAGCCAGGATCTACAGCTTGACCGCCACAAAAACCCAACCAATGAAGGTCAAGTTTGTCCCGGGGGAAAGTTAAACTGTCATTGGACCCGCAACGAAATTAATCAGAAGAACATAGGAGGAGTTCGAAATTAAGGTTCGACTTCCCTCCATTGCAAAGCGGATGACAGGTGACAAACAAAGGTTTAAAACCTTTAAGAAAAGATTATGCACCACGGACAATAAATTAAATTAAGGGGGCCTATCTTATGAGCAAGTGACATGAAGTAGAAGTGAATCCCCTGGCGCCTCGCTCGCTCGCCTGCTCGCTGGTCGCACTGGACCTCGCCGAATGTCGAACCATCCGTTGGGTTTTTACCACACTAAGGACGAGCCTATGGTGCTAGGGTCGAGTCGCAGCTAGCACATCGCACAAGAAACACCACAACCATTGGGTAGAAATATACCTGAGAAGCCCGGGAAATTAACATTGGCTCGACACCCGCACCGGCCTACGGCCAAAGGATGCGATAGATAGATAGACCCTGTATATTTTAACTTCATTAAAACCAAGCAGATCACCATCGCAGACGCGCGCCCTGTCCTGGCCTATAATTGATTTTGTTGAAACTTAAAAGTTACAAAATGAATGAATGATTCATCAGCATCTCAGCCATAGGACGTCCACTGCTGAACATAGGCCTCCCCCAATGCTTTCCATGTTACCCGATTAGTAGCAGCCCACGTCCAACGCCTTCCTGCTACCTTTATGATGTCGTCGGTCCACTTTGTGGGTGGACGTCCTACGCTGCGTTTTCCGGTACGCGGCCTCCACTCCAGAATCTTGCTGCCCCATCGGCCATCAGTTCTGCGTACTATGTGCCCTGCCCATTGCCACTTCAGCTTGCTAATCTGTCGGGCTATGTCAGCGACTAGTTCGTTTACGGATCTCCTCATTTTGATTCGATCTCGTAAAGAAACACCGAGCATAGCCCTCTCCTTATCACGCTGTGCAACTTTGAGCTGAATGAATGATTATTTTAATTAGGGCTATCGTTTAAGCGCTCACCAGTTTGCGCCACTGTAGAGTAAGGTCCTGTCACTTGCTAGTAGCGAAGACAGTGGCACCAACTGGTGAGCGCTAAAGTGGTAGGAGGACTATCGCATTTGCACTCATCAAGATGGCGCTACTGTAGAGTAAGGTCCTGTCAATCGCCAGGGGTGCCAACTGTTAAGTATAAAAACGATAGCCCTCATTGAAATAAACCTAACTTGCCCACAGCTATATGACCGCATGTGTATGGCGCTGGGCGGGCGCGCGGCCGAGGCGATCACATTCAACTCCATCACCAGCGGCGCGCAAAATGACCTCGAGAAGGTCACCAAGATTGCGTATGCGCAGGTCAGTCGGAAATCTATACTAATATTATAAAGAATTAAAGTTTGTGTGTTGTATATTTGTTAAATTGTAAGGGGTAATCTCGGGATCTAATGAACCGAATTTAAAAAATCTTTCACCAATAGAAAGCCACATTATTGCTGAGGGTCATAGGTTATATAAAAAACCGAAAAATTTCACGCGGGCGAAGCCGCGGGTGGAAAGCTAGTCTAATATAAAGAGGAAAGATTTCAGTGTTTGTTTGTATCGAATAGACTCCGAAACTACTTACTGGAACAATTTGAAAACAGGGGGTACGAAGTTCGCCGGATCAGCTAGTATATCATAACTCCGTCAATTACTCTTTCGTTCTCCGTCCACATTATGTACTTATGATATAGATACAGCAAAAGCAATATGAGGGCAGCGAAGCCAAAATGTATCCTTAGATAAGCACAGACTATGTACTAAGAAAATAATAACAAAATGTTTTAAATTGTGTTGTTAAATTGACCAAATTATCAAATTGAGCATCCTTGGAATAAAAATTAAACGTTCTAAGCTCTACCTCAAAGAAAATGATTGCATGTTGTCAAGAATAATATTGAAATAGCATCATAGATTGTTACTTTGCATTGCGATTTGATTTTTAAAAGCATTCAAGCGAATTCCTACCATTTAATTTGTATTCGCAATTTATTGCTTCAGCGAATTTATGCTAAACATGAGTAATGTTCACACCCACACCCTTCTAATGAGGGCTATCGTTTTAGCGCGCACCAGTTAGCGCCACTGTAGAGTAGGGTCCTGTCACTTGCTAGTAGCGAAGACAGTGGCACCAACTGGTGAGCGCTAAAGTGGTAGGAGGACTATCGCATTTGCACTCATCAAGATGGCGCCACTGTAGAGTAAGGTCCTGTCACTTGCTAGTAGCGAAGACAGTGGCACCAACTGGTGAGCGCTAAAGTGGTAGGAGGACTATCGCATTTGCACTCATCAAGATGGCGCCACTGTAGAGAAGGTCCTGTCAATCGCCAGGGGTGCCAACTGTTAAGTATAAAAACGATAGCCCTCATTACCAGATGCAAAAGGGAGGCGCAATCGTTTATACAACATCCCTTCCCATTTGTCCCCAGGTGCGAATCTACGGCATGTCGCCTACGGTCGGCTTGCTGTCGTTCCCTGATCTACGGGAACACGGCAAGAGTCCTTTCAGCAGAACTCTGAAGAACCTTATTGACCTGGAGGCGAGGAAACTCATCGCCAACGCGTATTACCGCACAGAGGACCTGCTTCGGACGAACCGGGATAAGTTGAAAGCGGTTAGTATTATAGCGGCTAAGGTTGGACTTCACCAATCGCATTCATAAATCCAGTTTCATAAACTATTTATAGGTCGCGCAGCAAGAGTTGAGACAGTCAACGCAAGCAAAGATTTGTGTCTGTATAATGCTTTTCACGCTGACGTCGTGCGTATTCAGACTGTTAAGTGTGTTCATAAACTTATTCAAATATTACATCAGTGTGAGTATGGTGTTCGCCTCAACTTTTGTTGAACGATCTTTATTGTGTTATTAAATCTCTCACGGTCTGATACAGCCATTGCCATGACAACAGCACACCGGTGGATGAAAAGGGGCCAAGAGCTTTAACCACTAGCTGTTGATGACAAATATCTTCTTATCGTTTATTTATCCACATTGACTTCTGGATAAATTATGGTCGATGGGATTCTCAAGTAAGAGAAGTGTAGCAGACCTATTAATTTATACTTCTTCTGTAGAGTCATAATTTTACCTTTATTGCTGTCGTTTTGCGTTAAAAAAAATACTAATTTCTGTACCATACTTACAGCTCGCCGAAGCGCTCCTAAAAAAAGAAACGCTGAACTACAAAGAAGTGGAGGCCATCCTCGGCCCGCCGCCCCACCCGAGGAAGAAGTTCATCGACCCCGTGGAGTTCGAGAACAACCTACGGAACCTCGAAAAGGCCGCGGCTTCGGAGCCCGTGCCTTCAGACGCGCCCTCCGCGAAGCCCGAGCCAAATGTATAGGCTAGTTTAGGTAAGTAGACGGTGCACTCGTAATTTAATATGGACGCAATATCGTAATAATCGCAATAAATCGTATTACGTTAGATACACTTTGTTTTATTTTATGCGCGAGCGCATTCTGTTTCGCTGGTGTGGTGTAGTTATGGATAACCTCTTTAGTGAATGTCTCAAGATTTAAGTTTTCAAACTAAATAGCTGAATCCCATCAACAAAGACATTAAATGGGAGTGTTTATTTTCATTCATGATCGTAATATTATGTTATTTACTATGTAAGTAGGTACTGCAAACATAACAACGAATAAAATATGAAGACAATATTATTTTGTTACTGCTGCCTCGCTAAATATGTAATTTGCTCAGCGGCTGTGACGTGCAAACGGCGAATTTAATGTCAATTTATTACTTTCAAATTTGCTATACTTGAACTGTACCATCATCATCATCATCATCTCAGCCATAGGACGTAGGCCTGCCCCAATGCTTTCCATGTTGCCCGGCTGGTAGCGGCCTGCGTCCAGCGCCTTCCTGCTACCTTTATGATGTCGTCGGTCCACCTTGTGGGTGGACGTCCCACGCTGCGTTTTCCGGTACGCGGCCTCCACTCCAGAACCTTGCTGCCCCATCGGCCGTCAGTTCTGCGTACTATGTGCCCTGCCCATTGCCACTTCAGCTCGCTAATCCTTCGGGCTACCGGGCTAACTGTACAACTTTATTTTATTTATTTTCTCAGATTAAAGATAGAGAAGGAAATTTCTGAATAAAAAGTAAATTCTAAAACTATATCTGGGCCTACTTCACTACAATAAAACTATTGTCCGTTTCGGGAAATGAATTTATTCACAATCAAAGATACAGTTTACATTTATACCTGAAGATTTTAGTAGATGAAGATACATTCATAATTTTAAACATTTATATAGTTCCAAAATACTGATCTGTCCTATCGATGACATTGACAGTGGGGCGCCACCGTCAATACCGAATCGCTGGTTCAGATTTTTGCCATGTTGGAAACCATATAGTTGAACGATGGTAGCGCCCCCCTGTCATTGAGTTTGGTGGGACAGTTCAGCGTGGGTCATCTATATCATAATATCCTGTAATTTTTTCATGTAGAATATTTATAAACGCAAAAGTATTTTGAAAACAATAAACATTGTATTAGAAGTTAAGCAGTAAATTGTGGTTAAATAGTCTGCGTCGATAATTGAGCAGTTTTGTTAATACAATTTGATAAATATCCACAGATTTTTCGTTAAATTTAATTGGTTACTAAGTATCAATTTTAATATAATATTCCATTTCGCAGTTACCTCTCTAATGACCATCGGTGTCCATGTTAGTCGGACTTATTTGCTTGTAATATTGCCTATTGACGCAAACCAATTAATACATGTTAATGTTTTTAAATATTTTACAGTAGGTATTCAAAACCATTTAATACAGCCCAGTCATTTATAGGGCACTAGCTTCAATTTGGCGCTTTATATTCATTTATCATAAAGTTGAAAATCAATTATTTTTAGCATGCTGTGCACTATAAAGGGTTACAGCCATGACATTAGATTATCTTTGTGTGATTTTACAAAGCTAGCTAAAATCTTGTAATGCGACTAATTTAGGACACAGGTGTGTTAACTTTGTTTTTTTTTTGGGTCATACCTACACGAGTTTTTAAAACCATCAACATTTACGTCCTCTGTGGATACTTCGTATGCCTGTATATATTATATAGCATGTTGTTACAGTGGGGACTATCGTTTTTTTCTTACCAGTTGGCGCCACTGTTGTCTAAGGTCTAGTAGCTGTCAAAGGTGACTACTAGATCGGTGCCGAAACAAAATTTTGAATCTTGAATCATTAATTAAATTATAAATATCCCGTTTATTACTTATAAATATCATCCTACTATTTTTGAGCCTCTTATTCGTAATTCCGCTTTCAAAGCGTTCACGTTAATTGCCACATAATCCATATTTACTATAATTTCACGAAGATCACTTTTCAACAGGTAAATTAAAGGAAATTTTATTTTGCGTCACGAAGCCCTTTAAAACCAGTGAAAATTAATTTTTTTGGACCAAATGCGACACAAGCGCCTCTAGTGGTAAATTCACACGCGATAACCCCCATTAGGGTGCTAGCCTTATGTAAAGACACAATTTTGTACTGCAGGAACCAATATGATATCCACCTACCTACATGATATTTAAGAACTTGATAAATAAGAAGACTAAATGATTATACTAATTCAGTAAAGACCTTGAATAGAATTCACTGACCATGTAGGTCTTGAGATTTTTGTACCCATTACATGAAACATGTTTCGTTCAAAATGATATGATCAGCGTATTATAACAGCCCAGAATATTATAATGACCATGTTAGATAGTTAAGTTTTCCTTTGATTATCTTTGGCTTTTGGTCAAATTGTTGCCATTCTATAAACGAAAATAGCAGAAGACATAAAATTATAGAAGATACATAATTAAGACTGCTAGTTTCTTTCAGTTTCTAGCTTTCTAATTACATCCACGAATATAACGAGAAAGATTCTGCAGTTTTGTCCCATTTACCTACATCAGGCATAACACCCTTGATTATACTACGTTTATAAATATTCTACGTCTTAAAACTCCAATTATAATAAAAACTACACATTTACACTACATAATATATATTCCAATATCAAATTAATCGCAGTCTTCAAAATGTAATTAAACATTAAGTCAAATGGGCACTCCCATGTTATACATAGATAATACTAATAAAAATATAAATTCGAAGATACTTTTTGGAGATGGTCATTTGAAAGCTCGTAGAATAATACATTACAAGATTTCATTTGAAGTAGCCAGAATTGGAAATTGATGTTGATCCCAGAGACAGCTAGCAACTGTTCGCTTAAAGATACCATAAAATGAAACAAAAGAAAAACCAAACAAAAGAATTCAAAAAATATTTATTATTAAACACAAAGTAAGTACGACGATATAGCATTTGATCGCGCAACCAATGTCAAGTAGGTATATTAAAATAAAATCATTCCCGTAGTTATAATAATTGTGATTATTTTGTACTTGTGCCTATTTCCATAAAATATACAGGTGTACATGACAATGAACTGTCGTAATCAACTGACATTAAACACTGACTGAATCTAAGAAAACATGCCTTGATTTGTGTTTTTAAAATTTAGTTATAACATGCATCCCAACTTCCATCCCTACTACTAGAAACCTTTAACTTAACTTTCTGTCTTTTCATAATAATTTAGGCCTGTTTTGTGGAACTTTTAATAGCTACTCGCTTTTGCATGAACAGATAGGTTTAGGCGTATTGTACTGTTGTATGGTTAAACTTCGTCGGTTTTCTATGTAGACATGTTTACGTGATATTTTAAAGACAGTGTTTATGGCACAGAACTTGTGAATAATAAGGTAATAATAAGAATATTGAGGCAACACAATCCCACACTGATTGATCTTTTGCCGTTCATTGTTCAACATGTTGGCAACCCTTAAAGATATTCCTTAAACAAACATTTCGTGTTAACTTAATACCGTTAACTAACCAAATTGCCTCATCTAGCCTGTACTTATTCATAATTTGTGCAATCCGTTTGTGCTCTAAGCCTCTGCTAAATAATTGTAACAAAATAAATAACATCACAAAGAAATAAAAGAATGTACTTCAAAAGCACCGCGACTAGGTGAAAGAATTTCCAATTCCGTATTATGCGTTTTCGGGCCGAGTTCTCCAATAGACTAGAACAGTTGATTTTAACTACAAGTTTATTGTAAACAGTGATTTGTGAAACTTGACTCACACGATAGCGTGGTTTTGATAGCTGCAGTTAAATATTTGCGACAATTGCAGTGTACTTTTAACGTATATTCACTGCCTGTTGGTGAACTCGGCCCTTCAATTCCCATTAGTAACTGCTATTGGGGCAAGTGAGATAGAAAGATGAAATTGAAGACCAACGGTGTGCACACTGCGCTCTCGCATTTTTCAGTACCGCACACGTTCTGCCTACGCGCCCTCTGTCGACAACTTTAAAATAAATAGTACATTTTCGGTGGTATGCGAATTATTGAAACTTTTTTCTGATTCAGTTTGGTCTTTGACTGCTTTGTAGCATGGATAACTGAAGTGGTAAGAAATAACTGTTATAAGTCGCAATCAAGATATTGCAGACTTACATCATACCGATCATAGTGTCAAACCCCTAACACCTGTCCCGGTGCCTCCCTTTGATAGTGACCTTTACATTAATTACAGAATCATCAGCACCATCATCACATTAATTACAGAATCAGAAGTATTCCAATTAAATAGCCTCTACTGGTGTTGCAAAAAAGCACCTAATTCATTGAATATTATGCCTTTTAACAACGCGTCAAGATGTGACCATGCTATCGACTTTGGCTAACAGAGCGAAAGTTCACGATCTCTTGTTGTTAAGTAAGCAGACATGTGTTATCCTACCAATCATTCAGAACAGTGTTCTTGATAGTGTACAAAATTGAACGATGGTGTGTCCGATTGTAACTATTTTCCCCATCAACACTGGATCTAAACCACCACGTTGTAATTAAATAACTGCAGCAATTCAGTTCTTTATCGCGCAGTTTCCAAGTCCTTGATTATGGACTGATAATTTTTTCATAAGCGTATCATTTTCCCCTTAGCGAGAGAGCAGTGCCCACAGAGCGTCGCGTCCTCCGTAACGCGAATACATACATTTATCGTTCAAAATCAGTACATACATTATACAATACTTAATCATATAATATGACATTTACTACAATAATTATACAATTTCAAATATTTACATTCAAAACCAAACTATGTCCTTGTATATTGGACGATCAAAGGAAATTAGAAATTAACATTCATATTAATTGTAAAATTTTAACGTGTTATATCTTTGCTAGGTCCATTAAGTTTGAATATGTTTAACATTGAAACACTACGGGCGTTTAAATTTTCTGGAAATAGTAACTAAGCTATACATAATAATATTCTTGGAGATATAACATTCCAGCCTGGGGCGTAGCGTGCCTTGGACAAGCCAATC